GGAAATGCGTTGAGACTGCTTATCTTGATAAATAAATAGCCGCATTTGCTGTGTTCTAACTCAAACGGTCTTCAGTGTTCATTATCAATTAAGAAAGTATATTTTTTCCACAACAATTTGGCGTTCCTGGAGACTTCGAACCAAACCAAGCACTTTTTTGGGGTCGAATGAGAGGATCTCGTCTGATGCGACGTGAGCAGTCACGTGCATGAATGGAATTCCTGTTTCTGGACAGAGGAGACGTCTGATGTGGCCGATCAGCATACATCTGTTCAGCGTTGGATTCAAAGGCGAGTAAAATTCTAATATCTCAGTTATTGATTTTCTCTCACGCATAAGTTTTTGAAGTAAAGCATGGTCCATGTATGTGTGATGTGTATTCCGGAATAAAGGGTTAATTATATGTTACTCTGCGTACGGATTATTACTTTAAGAGACGAACAAACATTGCGTTATCTTCTAGTGATAATTTGAGTAGCACGTAATAAATCGCTTGGTCAACGTAATAGGAGTGTAACTCTAGAGAGAGTTCTCCGCGAGGTTACGTTTGATATGGTCTTTATGCATGAAAAGAGTTCATGTGACATAGATTATTTCTCTGAGTGAAATAATTTGTGGTGAGGGTGCGTGTGATTAAATATTATTGAGATATTAAGAGACTTGATAATGTTCACCGAGAAAGAGATGAGATTGGAGCACAGCAAAGTCGTACAGCAAAAATAAAAAAGCGCTCTAAAAAGTAACTAAACTATCTGAACATGAAACTTATGCAACGTAATAATGAGAAGAATCTACTTAATATAGTAAGAAATAAAAAAGAACGGACTTAATATACTTTTAAAGTGAAAAGCTTGATTTTCGTGATAAAAAAACTCTTAAAACTATACTAAATTGAAGAAGCTATTCAAGAAGACCACATGGTCCTCTTCCTGCTTTTCTTTCCAAATTTCAAAATGGCTGATATAACAAAGGAAACCCTTCCCCCTAGCAATAAAAGTTCCAAAGTGAGTGCTAGAGGAGATAGTGGGGGTTTTATGACGACTACAGAGAGATGAAGAAGCAGTAACTTGAATGCTCATGAGGAAGACAATAGATTTGACTAATACAGATGTTGAACAAGTATTTAATGATGAGAGAAACTCTGAGCAATATTACTGTATAAAAGAAAATTAATTTGATGAGTTTTAATGTGATATTGTAATTATACAATGCAAATAATTCTCCTGTGAGAACTTATATTTTCAGGCAATGGGAGAACCTGAACGATGGAGATTTGTGCAAGACTTAAGAGCTGTAAACGATGCGGTAATATCGAGAACATTGAATATACCAAATATTCAATCTTTGATTTCTTCTATCCTTTCTGAGTGTGAATGGTTTTCTGTGGTGGATCTGGCCAATGTTTTTTTATTTTTGTGTGTGTGGATATTGACGGTCAATTTTGGGTCTGTTTTTCTTTTTGAAGGAAAAGCCTGTGTCAAGGGTATTGTGAATCTTCAACAATCTTAGAAACAGTCTAGACAGTTTAGAGTTAGGTTCTGGATCAGTGCTTTTACAGTACATTGATGACTGTCTGATTGCAAGCCCAACAGAGAAGCAATGTGAAGAAGACACAGTGAAACTGTTGAAACATCTAGCACAAGATGGACACAAGGCAAGTATTTCTAAATTGCAGTGAATTGTTCAACAGGAAGTAAAATTTTGAGTCATTTGATCTCAAAACAAAAGAAAACAACTGGAGGTGAGTAGAATGGAGGCAATAGAGAACATTATGAAACCGACGACAAAGAAGCAACTTTTGTCTTTTCTAGGAATATGTTCCTATTGCAGGACTTTCATTCCAAATTTTTCTTGCTTAGAGGCTCCTCTAAGTGAAATCATCCATGGAAAAGTTTGTTGGCGAACAGTGTTATTACTTGGACACCAGTAGCAGAACTCGTATTTCAGGACTTAAAAGGAGCTTTTACATCAACTCTTGATCTTTCTGATCCTACCAAACACTTTGTTCAAACAGTGAATGGAAAAACATGGATGCATGACATCTGTGTTATTGCAGGATCATGGAGGTAAGTTACGACCGGTTGCTTATTTCTCCTCAAAATTGGATCCTGTTGCTGCAGAACTTCCATTATGCTTGCGTTTCGTCGCGGTTGCTGAAAAAGCAGTGAATGCCTCACAAGACATTGTTGGGTATGGTGAGTTGACACTGCTCGTACCACATTCT